ATGATAGCTGATTTTTAAGATCACTTTATAATAACACTTAAGACATTCAAGAATTTTTATACATTTTCTTAGGTTTCAACCTTCAATTAGAATGTTTCTTTACAGTAAGAAAATAGTTAAGTATCAAAGGTTTTTTACTTTCCACATGATAATTTAAAGTGAATTATACACGATGTATTCTATCGCTTTAATATGTTGTATAAATAAAATTGAGCACTTTGATAATATAAATTTATTTCTTCGCGTGTAGGAATGATTCTACTGGAAATCATTTTGTCCAGCTATTTTATCACTTCGCGTCAGTTTTATGGGGGCTTGGCCTGCCTCCTGACAAAAAAAGTGAAGAAAGGAGAAATGGTGACAGATCAGCGATCGCGGTTAGTTTATTGCTTCCTCCCTGGCTCCTTTCTCACTCATTTCTCGCTTATCTTATCGCCCTGATCACTTGTTCATCGATCGTTTTAAGGCGCCTGCGAATGGCTTTCTGGTTCTTGTTTATTGTATTGTATTTGTTATTTTTGCATTTATTGTGTTATTTGGATTTTTCTGGCCATCACGTTCCTATTTGAAATGGACGCCTCGTGTGTCCGAGTAAACGTGATGGATGCATCCACTTGCCAACTTTGCGCTCCATCTCTTTCGAACTAACCCTCAGCCCCCTTGTTGCCATCTCTTTTCCATAATACATTTCCTGTTGCCAACACGGTTCCTGTGGCCTTGTGGATTTTTCTGTACAGTGCTCTATCGAAAACTTAACTATTGGGGTGTATTAGGACAAAGTCAATTAAAAGAATAAAGTATGATCAAAATTAAAATTACAATGTTTTTTTTTGTATACTCAGGAATAAATTTTATAGACAAAAATTTAAGGGCCGAGAATCAGTTTTGTCCTCTGCGGGAACTTTAAATGTGTCAGAATATTTCCGATTTTATTTCGGATAATTGAAAGTATTAGATATCGAGGCTGTTGCTGTAGAGTTCCCGAGACGTGATAAGTGGAAGAGCAGGCCAGACGTGCGCCAGACACTTGAGCTTTAGTTCTGCCCCCGCTGCCCATCGCACTCTTTCATTCATAAAAGTCAGGCAGCGAATTTGAGCTCCTGACTGGAATACAAGTGTTTTTGAAAAACCAAAGCAGAAAACGCAACTGAAACCGAAACCGAAATGAAAATTCATGTCCATGTTCCAGCGACGCCCGCAGCACGCACACGCACCTCAAAATGGCAAGGGGGTGGTGAATGGGCGGAGAAGGAGGGGGCATGAGGGGTTGAGCGCATTGAGGCGCCACCACACGCATCGTTGCACGTCCGTGGCCATTGTCCTCGGGCGGCTAAAGCCACACGCCGTCCACTCACCATCCACATGCAGTCCACACACTTGCAAAAAATCGATCTATCTTGCATGTTTCCAAATTTACTTGAAAACGCTTAAGGTTTTGAATTAGAAGGAGTAATGAATAATGATTATGCGCTAATCAACCTAGGTTTCAAGATAGATTTTTAAGTTGTAGCCTCTATAAGTTGGGTCACACTTATGCACTGCATTGCAAACATAGAAAACCTAATCACATTTGATTACGGACTATCAGAGAATTTAACCACAAACTATTAGAAGTAAGCCAATTATAAAGTCGGGATCCGATGAGTTAAGTAATGGGATAAAGAAGAACAGTTTTGAATAATAGCTAAGTATGCTATAAAAAGTTGGGAATATACTGCCCAGTATTTTTTTGGTATATTGTTTTACAATATTGATGCACTCTTGAATTACGAATTTTCGCTCAGTGGGGACGCACTGCCGATTTCCGACCTACAGAAGAGGGTTCTTCCGTTAGCCCCCGGACAATTTCAATGCCTGCCTGCCCACGATGATGATGACCACGAAGATGATGATGGCCACGATGTCTGAACGGTGTCTGGACGTGAACGTGAACGTGGACATGCCCGAGGCCCCCTTCAGCCCCTCGAAGCCCCACATCCTGCCATTCATTCCGGAAGCGCGAACACTTTCCACGTTCGATTTTTATGGCGAACGCTGGATTCGAGTTCCTCATTCATTGTCTACTCTCGGCCAACTCTTCTTCTTCCCATGGACCTGGACATGGACACCCCCTAACCCCCGACGCCTGACCCAAGCACTTGGCACGTTTCCTTTTTAAAATTCACAATTGCCGCCGCCGTAATTGTGGGAGAATTCGCTACGCCAACTTGTCTCCTTGCCATCTCACTCACTCTCTCCCAAGAAATCGATCACGTTTTGGTTTCTACACATGTTCCAGTTACGTTACGCTTACGTAATGTTTGTATTACTCTCGCAAGGTTGGGGGTGTTATCGGAGAGCTTCAAAATTGCCTGTGGTTGGGCCAAGAAACCGACTTTGCTCTACTTTTTGGTGAACAGTGGATATTAGTGATGCAATTGCAATGACAACGATTACCGATCGTTTTGGGATTATAAAAATTGTAGATGTGGCTAATCAGATGTGCTTTTCAACTTTCAACTTATTTAGGATGAGAGGAAGAAGAATAATAAATTTAAATGTAAAACCAGGTTTAATGGTAGCCTTGATTGAATTAAAAAAAGGAAAATTAAACAAATTAAAATCATCACACAAACTTTAATTGTATAAACTTTATCTATCAACCTCCATTTTGACCTTTTGCTATTACTGTAATTTTGACCTTTTGCTATTACTGTAACTTTTCGACCATTCAACTTGACAATATATACTTTAATCCTCCTTTTTAACATTTCAATCAATAGTGTTACCCAAACTGCCCACCTTTTTCTGTTAGTTTTCAATGTTGGCAGCTTGACCCCCACCTTGACGATTGAACCTTCCTTCCGTGGAAATTAAGAGGATGTTGCCTTTTCTTTGTGGGGTTTAACAGGGGTGTGGATGTTGCGGGGGCGTACTGTACAAATAGGCACATAAAAGAGACAGCTTCTGTCTGTGCGAGGTTGGAATAACAAAATATCCCCCTCCCCTTGAACTACCTGTTCTCCCCCGCCACTTTTACACACTATATCCTGCCCCCGCTTTCAAGGGTTCGCGTCCATTCCGCAGGATATATCCATTCGTAGGCTTAAGTTTCTTCGTTTTCCATTGGCATTTCGGTCACATACACAAACACACATAAAAAGGCGAGGCAGCAACAACACCCACGCAACGTGTGCGTGCGAGCGAGAGGCCCGCGAATTCCCAAATGTGTAAAGAAGTAAACTAATTGCTGCGCGTGCTGCAGCGCCAAACAAAAGCCCCATCGTCCTCTCTCTCTTTCTCTCTTTTCACTGCGAAGTACATAAACGCAGCGAGATGGGCCAAAAGCGTGCGCGGGAGAGAGATGGCGCTAGGACAAACCCGTTTGCCAACAGGCACGTACATCCAGCCATCCCTCTCTGACAGCTCTCGCTGTCCCGTTCGCTCTGCCTTAATGGATACGGCTCATTTAGTATGCGCACTATGTCGATTCCGATTCGACGCCGTGTCACGTCCCGCCCATTTGCACGCACACTCACCCGCCCCCGTCCGTGTGTGTGTCAGTGTGTGTAGTGTGTGTGTGGAGAGCGTGAGGCTGCTTAAAATGCTACTGGCGCTGCTCGCACATGACTTCTCCGGCGGTCAGGTGCTGCTCACCCACACAGCCGCACTTGCCTGGGCACACACACATAGGCTTTGGAACATTAGGGTTACTCGATTTTGTTGGGGGATACAAAAACCAGTAACAGCTTCATCTGTTTCGCGTTAAATACCTATTTAAATATTTATGCATTAGTTTATGTTGTAACATAATGTGTAATCACTTTTTGTTTCCCGACAATACCAAACTTTATAGTAAATATAATAAAAAAAAAAAAATTTATTATTTACCTTTGTTAAATAAATTTTACTATTGGAAGTTCGACTGAAAATACCAAAAGTCAAACTATGATACCCGTAATACTCACGTAAACTGGGATAATTTAAGTAAAAAGGTCAAATTATATGTTCAAATAAAATTTTAAACTAAAAAAAAAAAATTTTACTACATTTTTACACATTTTTGCAAGTTGTAGGATGTAGCAAAATGAAAGAAGTCAAATAAATATGGTCAGCGAGAACTAGACGTCCTTTTCATTGGGGCACCCTAATGCCCGCAAACACTTGGCGCCGTTCCTTCGTTTTTTGCTTCGAGTCACCCCCAAAAAATTGGGTGTGCCCTCTCGCTCGCTCGCTGCTTAGCCCCCTCTCGCTCGCTCTCGCCGAGAGGCACTGTCTCTGCCGCCGCCGCGTTGTTGTTGTGGCTCTCTTTTCGCCTTTTTGCCCTGCTTTGGTTTTGTTCGGTGACGTGAACGTGACTCTGGATTATTCTGCACGTACTCGTCGCCAGCGACGGACGTACCGCATACCGTACTCCGTGCTCCGTACTCACAGTACTCCGTACTCCGATCTCCGACTTTCGTATTCCGTATTCAGAGGGTAGGCGTACTCCGCATTCAGCGTCATCAGCTGCAGTTTCACGTACGCAGCCCGGCCGTGCAAGTGTGTCCGTATATCCGTATATCCGTACATCCGTAAGCCCGTCTCCCTCGCTCTACCCCTTGAAAGCAGTGCGTGTCCGTAATTGGCAGGTCTCATTCGGTAGGACGTTGAACGTAGAGCGTTGAACGCAACCCGTAACCAGTAACCCGGAGACGTGCCAAGTGCCGGAGATAAATTAACTGGACGCGAACGCGCCTCATTTGAATGCCAATCGATTGACGGCTAGTTTGCCGATCCGATCCGTAGTGCGTGACCCGTACTTCTCTCGCAGGATAACTGGAGACACGTACCACACGCGTCTGGCGGTGTGCGAGTGTCTGAGTGTGTTTGTGTGAGGCGGACAACAAAAGGATGCGGCCTTCAAATCAAATGCCACGCCCCCTTGAATCCGTGCTCCAAACCAAGTGCAATACCAAGTGATAAAGTGAAACGCCAAATTGAAAACTCCCTGAAAATAAGAGGCACTTAAAAGACCCCACAAAAACATCGCTATGTTGCCGTACCAGGCAGCCGTGGCCATGGACTACGCCGGATACCAGAGGCAGCCCACGCCGGGTCACCCCGGAAGCCACATGGCCACCATGGGATCCCTGGGCATGCCGGCGGTGCCCTTCACCCACAGCTGGATGGTGCCCACGCAGGACCTGTGCGCCATGCCGCCGTACAACAAAATGCCCGGACACCAGCAGCCACCAGGACCCGGAATGCACGCCCAGCAACAGCCCCTCGAGCCCGGGTTAGTAACCTCGCATAGAAGAGGTTAAAGATCTCCCACTTTTCGGTAGAGGGAAAATTCAAGATGAAGCCTAGTTCTCAATAAAAAAACATTCAAATCCTTTGAAAATTTAGTTGAAAGGTTATACAAAACCAGAAATTAGACTTCTTAAACGTATTCAAGATCTGAAACTTTCTTCATTTTATATCGGATGATAAATTTGCATTTCTTTGAATCGACTGCCAAGAAAAAAAAAGTATTATAAAATACAATTTTTCTTAAAACACCTTTTATATTTGAAAATCCAGTTAAAATCCCGGAAATGTGCAAACATTTTTGGGTGTAATCATTTTATGAGGTTTCGAAATATAATAAAAAATTATTGATTAGCTTTTATTCAGATTGCCCAAAACAATCCAAATCTTTAATTCTCACTTAAAACAATAACTTTTAATTAATTTTTTATTTATTTTATTAGTAGAAAAATATCTTTTTGGAACTCCTATTTTGAATTAGCCTACCTTCTAAATTTCAGATAAGACTAATCCAGCGTAGGGGACTCGCAAAGTCCATTAGAGCCCAATCCCAAAACCTTTTCTTCATTGTGTACATTTTGAGGGCTCTTAAATTTATTTTAATGCGCTCATCCCAGGCTTGAAGCTTCGTTTTGTGCAGCTTTATTTGAGCCGCGCGCGGCTTCTGTCTCTCAACTCAAACTTCAGTTTAAGCCTGAATCTCAGGGCTCAGTCTTCGGCTCGACTTGAAGATTCGTATCTTGGCCGAAAGCGTCGTCGTCGTGGCCATAAAAATATTTTTGATAATTAAAAAGAAACCCCGGCTCGGGCTTTGCCACGGGCCAAGCCAGTTTTTCCCTCAGCCACTTGCTTTTTGTTTAAACATTCAAGAAAAAAAGAACAACACACATCAACAACGATTTTAATTAGTTGTGTTGAAATCACGTTTAGTGAGATGTCAGTACCTGCCGTACATGAATGCTTTCCTAATAAAATTGTCTGGTTCAAAAAACCCATGCGAGGGAAACCGAAACTGTTTTTTTGCGTCTCTGAGGAGGGCATAAATTCAATTTTGGGCTAGAAAAAACATTAATCTTTGCCTCGTCAATATCGAAATGCCATTCAAATGAGGCACAAACGAGGAGGGGTGTCGATGTGTCGGGTACCGGAGGTGTTGCCTTGACAAATGATGTGCGGTCTCGATTTTAATTTCGCACGAAATTCGCCACTGTCTAACGGGCGAACAAATTGCCTGTCATTAGCGAAAATTGCCCAAATCCAGCAAATAATTGCCTCGCCAGGGATGAGCTTTCAAAGTTAGCCCTTGGTTATTTGTTTTTAAAATAGGTGCTTCGATTCGGTTTTTAAGTAATGACTTTGCGACTATAGTTCGTGTAAAAGTATCTCTAAAATATATATTTTATATTACTTTAAATCTCTGTGAACATTTTTTACTGTGTGAATTTTTCGACAATCTCGATCTAATCAGGAATCCTTTGGAAAACTCTTTTCCGCTTGATTGGCCTGTTTGTGCAAATATTTTTATAGAGCCACGATGCAATTCGATTAGCGGATTAATGCGGGAATTAAGGCATCCCGAGAATGTAAGCGGCTTACTGCGGTCAGAGGCAGGGAGAGAGAAAGTCATCGAATTTTCTTTTCTTCCTTTGTTTTTCCTTCGGTTCGCACAAAACAAGGAAACACAAGGATAAAGGATAAGAAGTGTGGCCGAGGGGCCTTTGTGAAGGTAGAAATCGCCCGGGGTACCGTTATTGCTTTATCAGTCATGTCGCTCTTGTTGAGCCTTTCTGTGAGATATGGTCAGGACTCAGCGGGAATGTCCTTGCGCTGCCATTATGTAATCGCAATTCCAGGAAAACAAAGAAAGAATTATTACTTCAGTTTATTTAATAAGAATGGTTACATACAAAATATAGATGCCCATGCTATGATGGATTTTAAAAACAGTTATGTCAACGATTATTTTATAATTTTTTTTTGAATTTATGCTTTTGTGAAATACAGTATTCTTTTTCATTTATTTCTTGCCTGTCCCTATCAAATCAATATGCCCTTTTTATTTCGCGTAGTGGCCACGAAGATTTCACTGCAGGTCAAAACAGCACTGCCGACATTAACAGCAACAACAAAGAAGTTGTCAACAAACTTAAATTATGAAGGCTTGAAGCCAAGTTTTCTGACGAAGATGCTTTTCGTCAGAGAGATGGCCGCCTGCAGATAGCGGAACCGCAGAAGGTTAAGCAGATCCATATCCACAAAGCCCCATCCCGAAAGCAGACAGACTTTACGGATCCGAAGAAGAAGCGGCAGTCTTTATAGAGAGTCGGCTGCAAGTTTAGTGAATGAAAAGTTGCGTTTAGGGGAAATAACAAAACCCGAGATGGGATCGCTTGGGAGGCGGCATTTTCACAGGGATTCGAGAATGTGCAGGGAAATAATAATGAAAATATCAAGAAGAACTCTCTCACAGCCCAGGGCTTTGGGAAATCTTGCAACAAATGGGCTGCCATTTATCCAGAGACAAACTGTCTGGCCAACTATTGTCCTATTCGAAGACCAAAACCTTTTTCCCGCTGAAAGGCTGACAAATGTCGGGCAATTAGTTTGGGCTGACACCATTCCATCACAAAGCCGTGGGTTGGCCAAACAAATGGCCGAAAACGCGGTGCTGACAGGTGCGAAAGGTGTGCAGAGCCGTCTTTACGACCGATCTCCTAGCCATTCGTCAGTGTCTACTTATGAATACTGATTGATTCGCGTTTTCTTTTTACTATTGGATAAATATCTCATGGTGGCAATCCCTTTCTCTGACAGAATCCTGGAACTGCGCAAGGAGAAGTCGAGGGACGCGGCGAGATCGCGTCGCGGGAAGGAGAACTACGAGTTCTACGAGCTGGCCAAGATGCTCCCACTGCCGGCAGCCATCACCAGTCAGCTGGACAAGGCCTCCATCATAAGACTGACCATCAGCTACCTGAAGCTGAGGGACTTCTCCGGACACGGCGACCCGCCATGGACAAGGGAGGCCTCCAGCAGCAGTAAGCTCAAAAGTAAGTGCCTCCGAAGAGACTAGACGTTATTGAAGATATTTTAGGTATGAGGATACCTCACCTAAGAATCTTTAAATATTGGAATATAACATAATTATAAGATTTTAAATGGGACGTTTCAAAGCTGTATCTTCGTACATTTAAACAACACATTAACCAATGATTCAACATATTTTCAAGAACAGTAAGCTGCGATTTCCATATCGAAGCCATTCGAAGCCAATCAATCACTTTAATGGGGCCTTCTGAAATTCCACAAACTGTCACAATGACACACGCCGTTTGCCCCTTGCCTTTGCCCACAAAACGGAGACCAAAATGGTCGCGCATGCGCAGCAAATAAAAATAAATTGCGCTTAATAACGATATTTTATGCAAATCCGGCAAAAGCCCAAAACAAAGCTTAAAAGCAGTTGACAAAGTCATTGAATAAATTTTTCCCTTTTTTTTCGAGCTTGGCAAGACACATTTTTAAGGTGCGTACGAGCATAATTTTTGGCATAGACAGGCCGGGCAAAAACGGAATAAAGTTTTGATTTCACTTAAGGTGAACCGCGCTGCCCGCTCCACACGAAATGTAGGCAAATGAGTTTCCTGCTTTCGGTTTTAATTGCCGCTTCTCCGTCTCTTTCTCGCCAATAACGATCGAAAATGGCCGACAATATGGCGGACGTCTTGCGTCAAATGCAAATCATTAGCAAACGGAAATTTCTCTGCCCTTCGGCATATATGTAAATATATTATAGAACTCTCATAATCATATAAAAAAATCGTTTTCGAAACGTCCAACATAATATTTTTAAATTCTCAAATCACTTATCAGTCGCCCTTGTAGTTATCACACTTGTCGGCACTTAGTCTAGCATTGAAGTTAAACACAAAAAGCGAAGTACAGAAATTTGTGGGGGAAACAGAGTTATTGTCACTATGTGTATATACCACTGCTAAATCCATCCACTCCAAGCCACGCCATTCCCCAGCCAGCCACGTCATGCTCCGGCGACGTTGACAATGCATTGTCACGTCAAGTGAAAAAGGCATTCCACGACGACAGCCCACGACTCTTGGCCAGGTTTCTCAGTTCAGACAGTATTCAAAAGCTGCCAACTGGCAACGGCCGAGTGCACTCACAGAAAAATGTATTGCTGTTCGCATTTCATTTATATTGGGCAATACTGTGAAAAGACAATATGTAGTTACATTACATTAAGCTGAATCTGTAAATGTTACCTTCTTTAAAGTCTATAAGTATTAAATTAAATACTTAATTCCGCTATTGTATTGAAGATCAGCAAAAATCAAGTTTTATTAAATAAGTGGAAAAAAAGCATTGAATAGTATTTTTCTCCGTGCGACAGCTGGCAAAGAGGCAGAGTGGAAACGGGCAGAGCCAAAAGGCGAGGGCCATCAAAAAGCCAAAAAGGTAGTCAAGGCACTAAAAAATAATCCAAAATCAATGGGGCGTTATGTATGGAAGGCGGTGGAGTGGCCGTAACGCCTTCATCTATTCAATTGGATTATTATGCGAAACTAAACCCAGAAAAAGTAGTAGAGAAGGGAGAAGGAGCATTGTGCGACGAGGATGAGGAGCAACAAGCTGCGGGGCAATAAAAAGCACTTCAATTTGACCCACAGCCGCAAAAAAGAGCAGAGGAAATATTGGGTGGTGGGGTGCTTGGGTGGGTGGTGCTGGAAGGTCATTAAGGCTGGGCTGCAGCCACATATGGCCATGTCCGAGCGGAAGCGGAAACTGTTTGCCAACTTAGCGCGCCGACCACTGGAAATCGCTGGGGATTTGAGGGGCAGGAATAAAGGGCGATTTGCACTTGTGCGAATTATGACTTGGCCGGTCAGTCGTCCATAATCGTAAAATTCTATAATTGAATTAAATAAATAAGCTTCGGCAGGGCCTCAGCTGAGAAAATATTGGATGCCCGTTCTCATATTTACGATGCCCTGCGGTTATTGTTGTTGTCTTTTCTGGGTGGCAGGGGTGCATCATTTACGAGTTGGGTCAAGAGCAGACCATGGAATGAGTAGGTGGTGGACAATAGCTCAGGGGGTCCCGAATAACATGCGGACCTCGATGATAAAATATTATTTTTGTCATTATTTGCGGAAGTTTTTTTAAATTTCTCCATTTAATGCTAAACTGTTGTCTATAGAAAATTTATTAGACTTCAACATTTATAACTTTCCGTTTAAAATGTATGTGCATGTTAAAAAATAGGTTTATATTTCTAACTTTAAGCAGCTCAAGTTAAATTCAATTAAATTGTTTATTGTGTACCGATGCATTTGCATACTTTCCAACCACTAACACTCCACTTTCCCCTCTTCTTTCACCTTTCTCCGCAGGTGCCGCCATTCGTCGCAGTCCCGCTGTTGATTTGTTCGAACAACATCAGGGCACCCACATATTACAGGTGAGATTACGGTAGCAAAAGAGACGGCAGTAGGCCCGAAGAAAGAGAGCGGGATAGCCCGCAGCCATCTTGTGCATATGATTAAATAAACTTTGAAGAAAACATGACCCTTCCGACTTCATAAGTAATATAACTATTCTATTTCTGGCTCATCTTTCTTAAGACAACATAAAGAAATATCAATCTCCTTGTGCATTCAATTTTCAACAATTGGCTTGTAAACCAACTATAAATTCCGATCTTCTTTAAAACTCTTGCTAATAAAAAGTAGCACTAAATAATCTATTTTCCCCTATTATTTCGCTTCAGTCCCTTGATGGATTCGCCTTGGCTGTGGCGGCAGACGGACGCTTCCTGTACATTTCCGAGACGGTGTCCATCTACTTGGGCCTGTCGCAAGTGGAGATGACGGGCAGCAGCATCTTCGACTACATCCACCAGGCGGACCACTCGGAGATCGCCGAGCAGCTGGGCCTGAGCCTCACGAGCGGCGGCGGCGGCGGCGGAGGAGGCGGCAGCTCGAGCAGCGGCGGTGGAGGCGGCGGAGCGGGAGTGGGCATGGCCTCACCCACTTCCGGAGCCTCCGACGATGGCAGCGGAACACACGGTACGAACAATCCCGACGGTGAGTCAAGTCCGAGTTGTCGAAGGACCAGGGGCGAGAATGAACCCTGGTGCGGGTTGGGATCAGAATGAAATATTTTGAACTTTAAGAAGCTATTTAGAATCCAACCAAAGAGTTGGTTTTAACAATAATAAGATAAGGACAGAGATTTCGTTGACACGCCTGTTAAATTATGTATGACCGCTTAAGGGAATATTAGTGTAAAGTAATATCCCATCTAATCCAAAACATCTTCTGATCTTACAGTTGCTGCCTCCATGACCCAAGCCTCAACGAGTGGCTATAAGGGCTACGATCGGAGCTTCTGCATCCGAATGAAGTCCACACTGACCAAACGCGGCTGTCATTTCAAGTCCTCCGGCTATCGGGTGAGTTTTCACAACTTGTTTGTTCTATCCTCCAAAAAAACTATCCTTATTTGAATTTTTATTTAAGTTTTGTATTGATTTATTTGGTTTCCCCTTCGTAGCCATTTTTCTAACTGAATAGTTCTGGGTATTATTATTTTTCTGTTTTTGTTTTGGTTTTATTTAACTTTTTCGTTGGCCTTAGGAGTTGTTTCTAATGTAAGACTTGCGAGTAACAGTAAGACTAACCCATAGAAAACGTTTTCGGTTGTGTTGTGTAACTTGCATTACCTGCATTTTGTATTACGTATTACCATCCCATCCACTGCTTATCTACAGGCCAGCGATGCAACGAGCAATTGCAACAACGGTAACAATGCTAGTAACAATGCTAAAAACGTTAAGAATCCGGGCTCAAACTATTCGGTACGTATCAATTGAAATCAGTACGTTTGTATGCTAAAATGCAAGGCAAAATCAAAAACCTAATCAAAATTATTTACTGAGGAATTCGCTTTTTAAGTTTTTTCAACTATTTCGGCCATAATTTTTGTGTTTGCTTAGAAAAAAAAAACAAAGGCAAAGCCACTGACTGATTTTAGATTGATCAGTATCGAATAACTAGTGCGGAAGCTGCTTCAATCATCTACCAACCAATCAATCAATCGATCCACCATCAATCGCCGCAATCACCACATGCTCTACAACATTCTCCAGTTTAATTTATCACCAATTTCCCGCATTTTCATGCTAAAATTTATGATTCAAAATATTTTCAATATTATATAGAGGTTGCACATAAATTTTAGAAAAAAATTAGTACAAAAATCAATATTTGGCTGCCTACAAAATTCCTTGAAAGGCAATACAAATCACGTTGGAATTTTATACAAAGCTCCCGGCTAAATAACTTTATTTATGATTACTTCATTTATAACCACCAACTATTTTTTGATGTTAAGCTTCTTTCAATAAATAAAAAAATAAAATTATATACAAATAAATTTTTACCCCATTAAGAATAAATATTTAGTGCTTTTTTTTGACAGCCCTATATATAATCATCAAAATCATAAATTACTTTTGTTTGAGTGTAATGGGTTCATTTCCAAGCCTAAGATTTCCTTCCTCAATCACCAAGTATTACGTTTTGGAGCTACAGAACTAGGATCCCCAACTAACCGAGTCTTGGCTTCCTTGGAACCTTTACAGGTGGTTCTGCTACTGTGCAAGCTGCGTCCCCAGTACACATTCTCCCACAGCCGAAAATCGCAGCCGCCACTGCTCGGAATGGTGGCTTTGGCCATCGCGTTGCCTCCGCCTTCGGTTCACGAGATCCGGCTGGAGTGCGACATGTTCGTCACCCGGGTGAACTTTGACCTGCGAGTGGCCCACTGCGAGCCAAGGTAAGAGTTGACTTTGCCCCACCCCACTTATCTGCTCCCAACTAACGAAATGGTTCGCAACACTTAGGGTATCCGATCTACTTGATTATACGCCCGAGGATCTGGTAAACAAGAGCTTGTACTCACTGTGTCACGCCGAGGATGCCAATCGCCTGCGGAAGAGCCATTCGGATTGTAAGTACTTTGGTCATCTTATACCTGCAATGATACAAAAAATTAAGCTATTAGTTATAATAATGCTAAGTGTATACAGTAAGCAGTTCAAAGAAATGCTTTCAACTTGAGAATGATCAATTAGAGATTAATAATATTAAACTCAATTCAATAAGCAACTATGTACAGTTTAATATCTCTCTTCCAAATAAAAGTTGATAAATTCTTTAATCCTTTCCCTTGCAGTGATCGAAAAGGGTCAGGTGCTGACTGGCTACTACCGCCTGATGAACAAAAGTGGGGGATACACCTGGCTCCAAACCTGCGCCACCGTGGTCTGCAGCACCAAGAACGCGGATGAGCAGAACATCATCTGCGTAAACTATGTGATCAGGTAGGTTCAACTCGAATAAGCCATAGGATGGACCCCACTAACCTAGAACCTTATGATTAGCAATCGGGAGAACGAGAACATGATCCTGGACTGCTGCCAACTGGAACCCAGTCCGGACAGCATAAAGCACGAGGAGGGTCTTGGCAACGACAAGAGCAGCGGATCCCCAGGAGGAGATGCCAGTGGCGAGGGCAACTCGCACCTGAGTGCCGGAGACATGAAGCTTAACTCACCGAAAACCGACTCCGAAGGTCATTCGCATCGCGGCAGGGGACGCGGGGCAGCCGCCTCGCACGGCAGCAGCCTGAACAGCCTCGCCATGATCAAGGATAGTCCGACTCCCCTCGGGGTGGAGATCGAGGCGGGGGTACTGCCCACCACCGTGGCCACGCCAGTGCCAGCAGCCACCCCCAATGGAGCAGCGAGCAGCGGAGCCCAGTCCACCAAGCGGAAACGAAAGACCAAGGCGTCGCAGCAGGCGGAGGACCAGAGTCAGGAGCAGGTCATCCCCGAGCAGCCGCTGCCCAAGCTCCCGGCCATGGAGCAGCGGGATCACCAGCCTCGCAGTCGTCTGCCCTCGATTGTGGATGACCAGCAACCCTCTTCGGCGGCGGACTCGGCGGTCAAGGATCTGGAGCAGGCCATGTCCAAGCATCTGCCCTCGCCGGTGGCGGTGGTATCGGTGGCCCCGCCCAACACGGACTTCAGTGCCGACTCCCTGCTCAAGCAGCAGCAGCAACAGCAGCAGCAGCAGCTGGATCCCAACGAGAAGAGCAGCACCATCCAGTGGATCGGCACACCCTACCAGCAGCCACCGGCGCCCATGCCCGCCACCGCGCTCCTCCGGCAGCTGTACGCCAACCGGGAGAGCGTGATCCGGGCCACGGCCAGGCAAACGCCCACCGGAGTGGGACCCGGAGTCTTCTACGGCGACCAGCAGACGGGTCCGCTGCCCACGCCGCCGGGCAGCGAGTCGTCCTACGAGAACCAATACCTGCAGCTGCACTCCGCCGCCTCCGGCGTGCATCCCGGTGGCCAGAAGACATCCGCCGATGCCTTCACCAACCTGGTGTCCACCTACGGCGGCTACCACAGCTCCATCGACTACCACAACGCCATGACCCCGCCCAGCTCAGTGTCGCCCAGGGACTCAAATCAGCCGGGCAAGGCTGCTCCCGTACTGACCTCCAACGGGGGCTACGACTACGCACCCGATCCGCTCCGGGGACAGTATGCCACTGCCTCCGGCGAGGGAGTGCCCACCACGCTGCCCCTCAAGCCGCAGGCATCCTACACGGCCACGATGCACCCGTCGGGCAGCACCACCACAGAGGGCGGAGTGACCTACAGTAATCTCGACCAGCCGCAGTACTTCGCTCCGCATTCGAGCTTCCATCTCTATCACAAGGGCAGCCCGGCCAGCGGCTGGTACTCCACGCCCTCCTAGGTGATAGACGACCAGGGTCAGGTCCCGCAGTCCTGCCAGGACCAGTACCACCAGCACCACCAGCACCAACACCATGAGGAGGGATCCGGCAATGGGAACCAGGCGGGGGAGCGATGGGACTTTGTGGGGGCGCTGGGCAAGGTGGCCAGGATGTTCTTCAGCGCCAGGAAGGGAAATCCGGGATAGAGGGGATATGCCGGCTTAAGGGACTGGAGAAGGTTGAGAGAACAGCAGGGAGATTGAGATGGAAGATCGGATATCCAAACACCCGATATTCAATTCATTTTAAATTTAAAGCCCATTTCTGATTTTTCAAATCAAAAGATTTGATAATTCCAAGAATTTTCTAGATAAATACATTTCTCAAGACTTTCTCCCGCTCTTTCCCTCCAGTTCGCAAGCATTCCCCGCTAGCAATCCTTAGGAGTTATATTAGGGTTAGAGCCAAACTTAAAGCGTTAAAAAAACATTCAATGTTGTTAAATAATTCTTAAGTCTGTAAATTATGAAACACACTCCCACACTCGGACACACTGAGACCCAATGAAATTATAGGCAAAAATACTCAAGACGCAATTGATTTAAACATATTCTAACACTTAGTAAGGTTAATCTTAATTAAAATTAATGATATAGTAAGACTTGCATAGAGTGCCAAGGAAAAGGAAACCGAACAAAACGCGCTATAAATAAAAAGAGAGCGAATCAAAAAGGAAACACGGCTTGAACTAAACCCTCTCCCAACCAATTGTTATTAATTATTTAAATCAATTGTAATTTTACCAACACATAAACACGCATATATAAGATAAACTCAATATGATATGTATACATTAATATATATATATATATATTTAAACATTTTTACAACATATCAAATGCTTCCTCCTGTAGATTAAGGATTACCTTTAAACAAGACTCGCTCTAGAATATTAATTTCGACTCGAACACAAACAGTCGACTCGATTATTACCTCTAAGAGTTCCGCTAACGTTCGTCTACTTCCCTTTCCTCCCTATTGTATATTTAATAAAACCATCTAATAGCTAAAAAATAAAAAAAAAATATGCAAGAGCAAGAAAAACAAAAAGTGTAATTAAATTTTGTATAAAAGCAAAGAAAGTTTCTCCCATTAAAGGCTTAAAATATTGAGTATGACAATTAAAACTACTTTTAATCCGACTTTTCTTGGGAAGTGTTTATGATCTTGGGATTTTGAGATTCAAATAATTTTGTAAACAAAGTAGGCACTGCCTTTTCTGAGATTTTCCATTTAAAGAGGGGTTTACTTAAAGCATCAAATTACGTTCTCCATAGCAAACTCCCTCCACGTGTGTTGGACTTAATTTTTGTTCAGTTATCCCAAATTCTACGACCAGTCCTCCTCCAGATGAGTCGCCAGAACGTGATCCAGCTGTTCTACGGAACGGCGCTCCTCACTGCGATCATGGTGGCTCCCCTGGTCACGCTGCAGTTGCATCTGGACAGAAACGAGCTGCCCACCGCCTACTTCCGTTACCCGGGAGTCCTGTCCACCGCCGTCATGTCCCTGGTGCTGACCTGCATGGCAATGGCACCCTACCTGGTGACCCCGACGCACTTGGAAACAAAGCACAAGAAGAAGTACTTCCTGGCGATGCTGCCCTGGATCCTGGTCTGCTGGTTCAAGTTCGCGATTAACGTGAAGCTGCAACTCAAGGCGATCTTCCACGTTGCGAATGGGAACGAGCCGCAGGGTTTGGTCTTCGCCCTGGTCGCCTACTGCGCCATCTTTGGCCTGGCCCTGGAGCAGATGCTCCACTGGGGCGTTATCTACCACCTGATGACCGAGGGAGTCCTTACGAGCGTCACCAACTTTTGCCTGCCGAGGCGGGCATCGTAGACTGGCACATTTGAGACCAATGGTCGTTACCATTATAACGCAAACCTTGTACTTCACTACACTAATTGTTCACTATTGCGAAAAAACCAGATCGATTTGTAAAATTTTTATACGTTAACAGACAGGAAGCAATCATTTTTGCCGCACAGTTTTATGAAAGAGAAATGGCATACCGCAAATTATAGTTCCAAATTTGAACTTTAAATATTATACTATATTAAAAAAAATGTTTTCAGATTTTTAAATGTATTTTTTCTTGCCATTGTCGCACTTTTTTGAGCTTGCTATATACAGGGAATGAAACTGGAGTTCAAAATAATAAAACCTTTCCCAATTAACCTTTATATACATACGTATGTACAAAAACAGAATCTTAAAATTCTACGGTAAATATTTACAGAAAGAGAACAACACAAAATGGTCAAAGAAAATATCTTCGGAGCATCGCGAAGTTAGAAATTGTGGAAACTAACAGACATTTTGCGAATTGGATTCAATCCAAACACTTCTTTAGAGTATGTAAACATCGAGAAGAAGATATTGGCACACATTTGAAGTAATCATTCTAAACACTAATAACATTGGTCATATTTTGGTATAAAACGATACAAACTACGCGTTACTTTGTGAGAGTTCTCGCACAACCTGTTCCCTAAAATATGTACAGATGGGATGAGAACCTCGTCCCTAGGAAGCTTGCAGGGCATTTGCCTGGCCCATGGCCACCTCCTTGGCCACGTTTGTACTGGAATGGGCGAGAACCACACTGGTCTCCACCTTGATCTGTGATTGGCTTGCAACTGGGACAGCAACTGGAGATGGAGCTGGAGCTTGAGCGGCATTTGTGGCTTCGTGCTTGGCCTGGTGAACCTGCAGCAGGCCTTGATTGATGCTGGTGAAGCTGCACTGGTCGCACTTGTAGATGATCGAGGACAGCTCCTGTTCAGGATGGCGCTTCTGGAGGTGTATCTGTCCAAGGAAAGTACAAATATATTAAGGCTTTTCAGGCTTTTAAGGGAGACAAGATCTAGCGAACCCGAAAGGCGGTGCTCTGGATGGCCCGGAAGTCGCAGTGGGGACAGGAGTAGCGCTTCCGCTCCTTGTGGGTGGCCAGATGGCGCCGGAAGGCGTTGTGGTCGCTGGCCTCGTGATCGCAAGCGTCGCAGCGGAAGCGCTTCTGCTCCTGGTGGCTTCGCAGGTGGAGTCGCAGACTGCTCTTGGAGCCGAAAACGCGCTGGCACTCGGGACACTCCAGCTGCTCGTTCCGTTCCTTGCACAGGTGCTCCCTCAGAGTTTTCTTCTGCTTGAAGGCGGCCCCACAATCCTCGCAGCGATGCATCGCAATGGGACTGGTTTCTGCTCCGGGGCAGTTCGGTTCGTTGGGCGGTCTGCCCATGCCCAATCCCTGCGTGCGATGCAGTCGACGGTGGTTCTTCAGCTGCTTAGTGTTCTTGAATCCCTTGCCGCACTGCTCGCACTTGTAGTTCCGCTCCTCCGAGTGGATCTTCGCGTGCGTGTTCACCAGTCGCGAGTAGATGGGCGTCTTGAAGCTGCACAGCTGGCAGGAGTAGAGCTCCATGTCGATCTGGTGGGTGCGCCACAGGTGCGTGTGCAGGCAGTTCCAGTTGCTGAAGTTGCTGGACTTGCACTCCGGGCAAACCATGGGCTGGTTGGAGGTGAGTGCTCCATTGTGGCACCTCCCGTGATACTCCAAGGTGGCAGGCGACTTGAAGCGGAACATACAGCCCTCCACCAGGCACTTGCCGCCCTCTGGCACTTGGTTGGGACCCTGAGGAGGCTTCCTTTTGGCGGCTGTTCCTCCAGAGTGCTTTGCTCCATAGGGACGCCCCCGGACGGAGGTGCCGCCTCCAAGCAGCGGTGGGTCCACTGCGGGGGGCAGGAGATTATTGGCCACATAGATGCGAGCGGGCTTTTCGACTGCAGCAGTCGCCTCGGCGGCCAAAGGAACTAGCGGTGGGACAGGCAAACTGCACAAGGGGGCACTTTGAACCACAGCTGCTGTTATGCCAGACGAAGTAACGGGCACCAGAGGTGGCACGGCCCCTCCTCCCGATCCCGATCCTTCGCCCGACCCTACATCCTGTATCTCCTCCGGCGGCGAGTCATACAACTGCGAAAAGTCCTTGACCATCAGATCGTCTGCAGCGTGAGCCAAACCCTCGAGTGGCGGAGCCCCACCCTCTCCACTGGGAGTGGGCAGACCAAGTCCAGCTTCTGGTACAGCCTCCTCTATCCAGGGCCAGCACTCCAGATCCTCAGCTAGGTCGTAGCCACCCTCGCTTGGCCAACTTCCGCTGATCGACGGCTGGAACTCGTTCAGCGTTTGCGGTTGCGTGTCTAGCTGGCCATCCAGCTCCAGCGGTGGCTGCTCCACGGGCGGAAGCTCCATCATGGTCATAGCCATCGGTTCCAGGTTTGGCACGATCAAGTGCTCGACTTCGGTGCGATTCATCAGGTTTAATTCGTCCACCGTGCGCAAGTGCAGGGTACCCCTCTGCGGTGCCTTCAGAATGTCTACGTTTTTGATGAAGATCTTCTGCTTCGTGGTGATGGGAGCAGTGGGAGGCAAGTAGTGCTCCAGCTGCACAGGTTGCGGTTCCATTGTTGTGAGTGGGTCATTGAGAGGAGGCGGCAGCGGGGGAGGTGGAGTGGCCTCGTCCGAAACAAAGTCGACGCCGAAATCGAGGTCCAAGGCACTGAACCGTGTGTTCTCCAGACTGGAGACAGGTGCTCCATTGCCGTTCAGCACAGAATCAAATGGAAAGGCCTCGGAACACATCTGAGCCAGAGGAGCTAGGCTGGGCTCAAATCCTGGCAGCGGACACGACGGCGTTAGCAGAGCATCCGCCTGGAAGACGTCCCCGTCTACTCCTAGAGGTAATCCCACTTGCCCAGGATCCACTGCCACCGGAAGGCTCCCATTGAAGCCCATCCCGGGCAGAGCGGAGGGCAGCACCATCGGTTCCTTAAGGATGTCTACGTTGCGGATATATATCTTTGGCTGACGAGGCTTTTCGGGCTCCAGACCTACGACAGCAACATCCATTAGGCCGTTGTCCGCGATCAGCTGATGATTCTGCAGCTGAAAGTCGAAGGACAGCAGGGCGGGCTCTCTGAGCACGTCCACGCTCTTGATGGATATCTTTTGGCTGGGCTTCGGTGGTGGAGCGGGGGCATTAGCTGCAAGTGCTGTCGGCATAGTCTGCTCGCTAGGAGATGCACCCACCGCTACTCCTTCCAGCAGGTCCAGGATGTTACCAGTGGACCCGCTGTCTGGCATAAGAGGCGAGAAATCCGGCAGAGGCTCCCGTAGACAGTCCACGCTTTTGATGAAGATGCGACTCTTGGGTCGGTTCTGGTTTGGCACCTGATTCATCTTTTTGGCATGAGCTTCGTCGGACTTTCCGCTGAGCAGGGACAGCACCTCATTGTCCTCCATTTGGTGATCCAGACTGAGGTGCCAGCTGAGCGCATCGCTGTTGTAGAAGATGTTCGAACAGCCTGGCAGAGTACATGAATTATGAATTCCGGTAGAATGATTATCTCAAAAACGGAAGTTACGGCTTGCCGGGCAAAGTTTTGGTTTCTAGAGAAGCTAAACTACAACTATTGTTTTTTTAATTGGTCTGTTAAGAACCTTGAGTTATTCTTGAGGCCATCGGAGTAAGGCTCATTTCAAAAGAGTAATTTATACTCAAAGTTCTAAAAAAAAATATGGAATTCTGACCAACGGCATCCTTACGGCGTAACTGGACTACTCATGATCTCACCTGGACACTGTCGCCTCTGCTGCTCCATGCTACCGTAGCAATTGGCCAGGTGCAGATGCTGTTGGAGGCGCACCTGGCAGAGGCTTAAGAACGGGCAGTTGGGGCAGCGCAGGATCAGAGGTGGGCCATCTTGGACCATCGCCTTGCCCTCCACACTGGCGCAGCTGGAGTTCCGTGTGGGCGGCGTGGGCGTGGCATTCAGACGCTCCTTTGCCGCCGCCTCTGCCAGTTCCGATTTAATCAGCTCCGCCTCCGATTTGATTTCCGCCGTGCGCCGACGAAAGGCATTGCGGTAGCTCTTCTCCGGCTGCTGCTGCAGATCCGTTGTGTGGATCTGGACAAAGGGAATGCTCGTATTGGGCTGGGATTCCCCCACCGCTTCTGGGGATCTGATCCCGCCATCGGGCAGCCAAACAGAAGTTCCAGATGTGGGTGCAGTTACCGATGCCGAAGAGGTTCCATTTCCATTGCCGATGACCAGCTCGTCGTCAAAGAAGCCGAAGTTGGAGTCGTGCTCCAAGGCGTGAACCGGCGTGGATAACGACAGATCCTGGTGGGGATGTGCATGTTGCAGCGGGAGATGCGAATGCGGATGCGACAGCGGGACCAAGTGCAACTGGAAGACACACAGCGTGTTTTTCTGGCCAGAGGAACTCGCTGGATTCTCATCTGGTGGCTCACCTGGTTACTGCCGTAGAATCCCGAGTAGGCCGCATCGCTCATTGTGGGTTCCGGGTTCCAGGTTCCAAGTGCCGGTCTTCCGTTTTCTGGGCACAGGCCTTCTAATTCCGCATTATAATTTACATTACGCAGACAAAAACTTTTGGTCACAAAAAAAACTGATAGCAAATCAGCTGTTGCACTGTTAAATGTGGCAGCACTGTTTCCGAATTCACATTTGGTCACACTTTCGCGGTATGTTTTGTAGTGCGTAATAGGCTTAATAAAATTCTCAACATGAAAATAAGCTCGCACAAGGACTAAAATCCTTGTTACTCATAATATCTTCTTGTTGATATTAAAATACTATTTATGTGGATATAGGAAAAACAATTTAATTTGTCAAGCACTATACAAGCAGCATTAAGCAGTGCAAGTTTACAAGTCGCTGCCAAAACACACAAAAAAATACTAACACACGATGGACTTATCGCTGTTATCGAATGTCTGCCCATCACTAGCGGCTACTGCTAATAAAACATAGCGGAATTTCGTGGAGCCAAGTGAAAATTGTGAAAATCCCTCGTTTCCGCGGAAGAATTCCATTTTAAGGCCCCAGAATGCCGCGAATAATGATAAAGGGCGGCGTGTGGCGCAACACGGAGGTAAGTGGCACGTGGCTTACCCGAATTCCAAATCCCTCACATGGGCTTCTAATTCGCAGGATGAGATCCTCAAGGCGGCGGTGATGAAATATGGCAAGAACCAGTGGAGTCGGATTGCCTCCCTGCTGCACAGGAAGTCGGCCAAGCAATGCAAGGCCAGGTGGTACGAGTGGCTGGATCCCAGCATCAAGAAGACCGAGTGGTCCCGCGAGGAGGACGAGAAGCTCCTGCATTTGGCCAAACTGATGCCAACGCAGTGGCGCACCATTGCCCCGATAATCGGGAGAACGGCCGCCCAGTGTCTGGAGCGCTACGAGTACTTGCTGTAGGTTAAAAATGTAGTAATCCCCATCAAAATCCCTAATCCAATTGACCATCTATTCCCCTAGCGACCAGGCCCAGCGCAAAGAGGATGGCGAGGACACCATGGACGACCCGCGCAAGCTTAAGCCCGGCGAGATCGACCCCAATCCGGAGACCAAGCCGGCGCGACCCGATCCCAAGGACATGGACGAGGACGAGCTGGAGATGCTGTCGGAGGCTCGTGCCCGTTTGGCCAACACGCAGGGCAAGAAGGCCAAGCGCAAGGCGCGCGAGAAGCAGCTGGAGGAGGCCCGTCGCCTGGCCACGCTCCAGAAACGCCGGGAACTGCGTGCCGCCGGCATTGGCAGCGGGAATCGCAAGCGCATCAAGGGCATCGACTACAACGCCGAGATTCCCTTCGAAAAGCGCCCGGCACTCGGATTCTACGACACCGCGGAGGAACATCTGCAGAAGAACGAGCCGGACTTTAACAAAATGCGACAGCAGGATTTGGACGGAGAACTCCGCTCCGAAAAGGAGGAGCGGGAGCGAAAGCGCGACAAGCAGAAGCTGAAGCAGCGCAAGGAGAACGAGGTGCCGACCGCCATGCTGCAGAACATGGAGCCGGAGCGGAAGCGCTCCAAGTTGGTGCTGCCCACGCCGCAGATCTCGGATATGGAACTGCAGCAGGTGGTCAAGCTGGGACGCGCCAGCGAGATGGCCAAGGAAATAGCCGGCGAGAGCGGCATCGAGACGACGGATGCTTTGCTGGCTGACTACTCGATCACTCCACAGGTGGCGGCCACTCCGCGCACACCTGCTCCGTACACGGATCGCATCATGCAGGAGGCCCAGAACATGATGGCCCTCACACACACGGAGACGCCTCTCAAGGGCGGCCTGAACACCCCGCTGCACGAGTCCGACTTCTCGGGCGTGCTGCCCAAGGCGGCCTCCATCGCCACGCCCAATACAGTGATTGCCACGCCGTTCAGAACTCAGCGTGAGGGCGGTGCAGCCACTCCTGGAGGATTCCTAACACCCTCTTCGGGAGCTTTGGTTCCGGTGAAGGGTGCTGGAGGAGCCACAGGCTCCATCAACACCCCTGCCTACGTGAGGGACAAGCTAAGCATTAATCCCGAGGAGAGCATGGGCGTCACCGAGACCCCAGCTTTGTACAAGAACTACCAGAAGCAACTAAAGTCCACGCTGCGGGAGGGTCTCTCCACGCTTCCCGCTCCGCGAAACGACTACGAGATTGTGGTGCCCGAGCAGGAGGACAGCGAGCCCATGGAAACCAACACCGAGCCCGCCATCGAGGATCAGGCAGATGTGGATGCCCGACTGCTGGCCGAGCAGGAAGCTCGCCGCAAGCGGGAGCTGGAGAAGCGCTCACAGGTGATCCAGCGCAGCCTGCCACGTCCCACTGAGGTGAACACAAAGATCTTGCGACCACAGTCCGAGAAACAGAACCTAACGGAGCAGCAACAGGCAGAGGAGCTGATTAAGCACGAAATGATCACCATGCAGTGTGAGTAGACCTTCGGTTCCCTTGAAATCCCAGTAGCTAACCCCTTTCACCCCACAGTATACGACTCCGTCAAGGATCCCGTGCCGGGACAATCGCAACACAAGTTGGAACAGCTGCAGAGCTACTTCAAGGCCAATCCCTACGAGGACATATCGCAGCAGGACCTGGCCAAGGCCAAGCTGATGCTCACCGAGGAAATGGAGGTCGTGAAGGAGCGCATGTCGCACGGCGAACTGCCACTGGATGTTTATGCCCAAGTGTGGCAGGAGTGCCTCGGCCAGGTGCTCTACCTGCCGTCCCAGCACCGCTACACCCGTGCCAATCTGGCCAGCAAGAAGGATCGCCTGGAGTCGGCCGAGAAGCGGCTGGAGACGAACCGCCGCCACATGGCCAAGGAGGCCAAGCGGTGCGGCAAGATCGAGAAGAAGCTGAAGATCCTCACCGGCGGCTACCAAGCGCGCGCCCAGGTGCTGATCAAACAGCTGCAGGACACGTTCGGCCAGATCGAGCAGAACTCGGTCTCGCTGTCCACATTCCGCTTCCTGGGCGAGCAGGAGGCCATCGCCGTGCCGCGTCGCTTGGAGTCGCTGCAGGAGGATGTGCGTCGGCAGATGGACCGCGAGAAGGAGCTGCAGCAAAAGTATGCAAGTCTGGTGGAGGAACGGGAATCGCTCTACTCCCAAATTGAGCAAATAACGGGCGTGAGGCCCACCGCCCAGCAACTGCTGCCCGAACAAGAAGCCTAGTCCGTGTTTTTGGGAACCCAAGTCAGCTCTAATTTAGTTAACATTCAGTCACGCAGAACACCCCAACATGTCACCACACACCCAGACCAGATCCAGATCCCTATTCCTCGCTAGTGTCCGTACTTTTGGTAGACCCACTCCTTGTTGTCCAGCGGGCAGACGAGCCGCGTCTTCAGCCAGCGCGCAATGCAGTGGTAGTGGAAGGCGTGGTTGCACTCGCCCCAGGCCACCGTGCACTCGTCCTGGTTCGCGTTCGGATCCGCCTGACACTCGATGCACAGCGTCATGATGTGGTTGCGACAGATGGCGCAGTTGTCCACGGCCACGTCCCACGACCACAAGGCGTGCGCCACCCACTTCTTCACCACGAAGCGATCCTCCTTGAGCTGGCCGCCAGCGCCTCCTCCTCCACTGCCGGATGCCTCGTCGTCATTAAAGTCCAGATCGTGGAAGTCCTCTGTGTCCTCAACCTCAATCTCCTCTGCCATGATACGAATTTTTTTTTCACTTAATTCATTCAATTTTTGCCCTTTTCTCAAAATGTGTTTAACGCTTTGAAGACGAATTCGATTTGAACTGATGTATACCCCCAAATATCACCTAACTTGACATTATACCAAAAGAGTGAGGATCGAAAATCTAACTGGGAAGTGACGTGCTTAAAACCATTTAGTTTAAAAAGCTCATACAAAAAATGTTAATAAAAATAAAATAAATACATGGAAAAAACAAGCGCATAGGTTTTACTTATGAACTAAAAAACTCGAAGACGAAGTAAGACAAATTCATATGCTAATGAATCGAACAGGAATTTTAGAGGTATCTTAGGTTTATTACATTGCAAATCAGAAATCAATGCAACTTTTATAAATTAATTATATGAGTTCCACTTTGTGGAACACGCTTTTGTCATTATAGAGTAAATTCTTAAATAACAGAACTGGGGTTTTGAAAATGCAATAAAGGGATTTCACATTTTCCATTGGCTACATAATAATTATTTGACGATAATCGTAGAGTCATGATACTACAAATTGATTATAAGTACAACCGTCTGGTATTGCTGTCATTACAATCTAGACGGTCTTTTCGGTTTGGGAAAGGGCTTTCACCGACTTCAGGTGTTTCTTTCCAATTAGGTGCTGCTGCAAGGTGGTCGCATGATTCATCATCATGTTGCAGGGCTTGCAGTAGTACTGGCCAATCGGAGTACGGTACATGGCCAGTTCCGCGGCATCCAGTTTTTCGGATGGCGGTGGCGCCTCCGGAAGGCTTACACCGCCAGACAGATCCTGTCCAGCGGTGCGCATGTTCTTCTGGTGCCTGGCCCCTGCCAAGTGGATCTGCATTTGGGGCGCAGAAGTGACCACTATTTTGCACAGGCTGCAGGTGCGCTCCTTGTCCTCCGCCTTAATCGGGCTCTCCTGAGGCACTTCCTCCATGGGGACATCCTGTCCCAAGGCCTCCGCTTTGAGGAACAGGGTCCCTATGCCATGGCGTCCATCAGAAGGGTTCACTCCTTCGCCCTCGAGCTTGCTGCCTGTTCGCACCCACTTTCCGGCGGAGTCGTAGTGCCCGGCTCCCGAGGGCTTCGAGACGCGCTGCTCCACCAGCTTGTGCTTGCGGCCCAGGTAGTGCTGGCGGGCATGCATGGAGGAGGTGAGGTCCAGGTCGCACAGGTCGCAGTGGAAGGCACTGGGGCCGGTGGGTCCCTGCTTGGCCAGCCGCTTGACTGGAGGCGCCTGCAGACCAGCCTCTGTGTAGTTCTTCGCCAGCCAGGCGCTGATGTGGCGGTCGTGGGCCTTGGACTCGTAGTGATCTCGGGCGCACTTCCTCGAGGTCACATGCACCTTGCACAGCTCGCAGTTCAGCGGCCCAATCAGCCGGTTCAGCTCCTCCGGATAGCTCTCGTCCCGTCCGGGAAACAAGGCCAGCTTGTTGATCAGCTTCCGAGTCCACCTCCATCTGCTCAGCCTTCCGTTTCAAGGGTCTCATGGACCGGGGACCGGGATCCAAGTTGCCCGCTTGTTTACCAGGTGCAATGAGGCGGTTTCCGGTCACGACTTCCGGCGCTGGCGGAGATTCGTTCCGGGTTCTGCCCATGGGAACACTCGGGATCACTCCTGGGCACCTAGCGAGGTGCGGAATGTGGAAGTCGCTCAGGAATCCGGAAGAACTCATTTCGCGACTGAATTCTATAACCCAACGCAAAGCTAGAGATGACAATGCAAATCACACGCATGCGTCGAATAAAAACTCTGATATTTTGATGTTTAAGTAATGGCTAACAATATTATATTGTATTTTACAACACAAAATTTATAATTGCAGCCGACTCAAAAACTTCAAGTAATGTACATAGTCTCTGGCCAATCTTATTTGCAAATAAAACAAATAAACTTCTTGTGATAATATCTCAAATTATCGCAGATATTATTTTATTTTCTTATAAGGTTTTACGCAGGTTTTTCCTTTAAGAAGTTTAAATATTTAATGCTCTTTCTAAATTTTTTTTTTTTGCAGATATTTCATTGTTTTCGAAACTATCATCTCTAGGTCAGAATGAGCTTTGGCTTTGGCGGTTTTATTCAAAAATACAAAAAATTGAATTTCAGTTGTAAAGCCGTTATTTCAAGTTTTACATGTTTAAAACGAGATAATTTGGCTTTTGGTAAAAATTGATTGCATTGTTAATGTCCGTTGCCTAGACAATATAGCAATAAATTCAAATTTTATACAAACTACCTAGCTTACATGTTGATTTATAATGCCCATGTATTATTTAGCATTTAGGTATTTATTTGTAAAGTTCTTAACCTGTGTTATAAACAGGACATCCTTTAAATTTAAAAAGTTGTTTTAAAAAATACAGAAAATAAATTTATTAAAAACTTTTTATATTTGGCAGAAAAAGCCAAAATGCAATCCCCAAAAAATAATAAAAACCCCTTCTTTTTTAATTACACATTTTATTGGATTTTTTGTAGCATAAATACATTTATGAATTGATTTGGTGCTAAAATACTAACAGTTTTATCTTCTCTTGTCAGTGTATCAGTGTATAAGGATCGTATTCTGGTTGCTGTTTGCGTATTGTTCTCGACCGCCAACTTTGGGTGGCGTATAGCGTTGGATGGGTGTAAATAAATTGCCATTTGTTTCGCTTTGTATACTTCGATTAGGTAGTTGGTTCTCTCCGCTTACCATTCCGTGGTGGCTTTGTAAATTTAGAATCGTTTCCCTTGCAGCACTTGCGGCGACTGAAGGAGATAATGTATAAGTAAGTGTGTATTTAAGGGGTAACTTATGAACGGAGTTGATAATACAATATAGTAATGATATACGATCAGTTTTAATCATAAGTCTACGCGTACTAACGGTTAGATAGAGTTAGGCGTAGGTTCGTATCGAATAAGAAAAACTCGAATCGTTTTGGGGCGTGAAAAGCGGAAGATTGTAGATTGCGTAGCCGGATTGGATTGTCGTGACCCCTAATCCTCGTCGTCGTTGATGGCGGCACTGCTGCGCGAGATCTTCATGTAGGCGGCGCAGATGCACTCGCACACGAAGCGGTACTGGCTCTAAAATTTCAAATTTAAGGACACGCATAAGAAACCCATCAGTGAATCCTCGCCAGCGATACTCACCACATTCTGCACCATGCAGGCACGCTGATCGCGCATGGTGCGCACAATGTCCAATGGGTAAACGGGCTCACGGGCCTCCATTAAAGCCAGCGCAGTGTCCATCAGTATGAGCACTCCCGTCCGTCCGATTCCCGCCGAGCAGTGGACGATTACAGGTGGATTGGCGGCACTGATGCATCTGCAAACAAATGGGGATAAATATGGATTAAGGTGTTTCAGAGTTTAATTTAAAGCGAATTCTCACTGGTGCACGCTCGTCGAGACGGGCGTCTCGTCCTCCGGAGTAGCTCCATTGCTGGCCGCACACTTGCGCTCCCGCATCAGGCCGCCGTTCTCGTCGGCATCAGCATCCGCGTCCATTAGACGCACCTGCTTCAGGCTCTCCTCGATCTCCTGAAGAAGCGTGCGGTTCCGGGCGGCGCGCACCCGCTCCGTGAACTCCAGAAAGAGATTGGGATCGGAGGGCACACAGTGGTCCGGCCAGGCCAGGTACTGCATGTGGTGGATGTGTCGCTGCTCGTGCTTGTCCTTCAGCACAAACTCGCGGAATACGAAGCTGCCGGTTTCATCGGGCTTTTCGCTGAGGCAGCGCACCGAGAATCCCTCCGCCAGCTGAAGCTCCTCGCCGGTCACCGGCCAATACTGGTGACACTTCTGGCGACCCGACTCCATCACCGTGGTTAGCATCACCAGGAGGTGGCTGCTCTCCTGCTGCACCATGCGCCAAAAGTCCGTTGTGGTGCTGGCCAGTGGACCCTGGGTGGCTATGTATCTGTTCACTGCTCCGCCGGGGATCTCCATGTTCACGTAGTTGGCGTTGATGTAGTCGCCAGTAAGCGAGTTGACCAGAGAAACCCGCGTGCAATCATCTAAAATGCATGTAAATTGATGGCTTACATAGAAAATGATTCCAAAGAGGCAAGTCACACTTACATGGCGATATGTCTCGATATCGGTTCTTTGGGGCATTTGCTGGCTTCCGAGCCTCTGTAATGGCCAGATCCGGGTTCTTCCTGTACATGAGCTCGTACTGGGCCAGCAAAGCGCCGGAAGCCAAGCCATCGCTTAGCAACAGCAGGCTCTGGGTGAAGAGAGCATCCCCATCAAGCAGATTGGAGTGCGATCCGATCTCGTCGCTTTCCGGAACGTACTGATAGAGCGGCTCCTCCTCCAGAAGCAGGGGCGCCGAGCGCTGGGGGCGCACAGTGAGCAGTAGTTCGCCACTGGCCTGGTGACGGCAGTCGCGAATCATGGTTACCACCTGCTCATGTCGCAGACCGTGCACATCTCGTCCATTGATCATCAGCACCTCGTCGCCCTCGCAGACACGTGGCGTGCAGCGATCGGCGGGCGTATGGGGCACCACCTTAGAGACCTGCACCGGCAGACTCAAATCCACGCCGCCCTTCACGTTGAAGCCGTAGCGGCCCTGCTCGTCGGCCTGTAGCCGGATAGTGATGAGGTCGCTGCCACTCTCAGGCTGCTGCTGACCCACTGCGTCCGCAATGGTCGTCGGCAGCAGGAGCGGGCTGTGCTGGCCGGAGCTGTAGGCGGGCGGCATGGGCGAGGGAGAAGCAGACTCAAAGCGTCGCGTGCACTGTTCGATGAAACCCACGTCTCTGGAAGACCAAAAAATTCAAAATCGTAAGTAATCAAACCCTTTGAAACAATTTCTGAACTACTTACAGCTGGATGTCATACTCGTCGCTCTGCTGCTCCCAGGCCTTTCTGGGCATGGAGTCGGCCTCCTTGGAAGTGACCTTGTTGTCGTGCGCGCGGCTCGTTTTGGTAATGGTCAGAATGGTGCCTCCGGTGGATTGCTTTCCATTGTGGGAGGTGGCACTCTCGGAGCCGCTGTGCTGCAGCATCGGAGTGCCTCCCGAGGAGCCCGAGGTTCCGCCGGCTGCTCCAAGGAGCCGCTTGCTGGGCGAGCGCACAAAGACCTTGTGGATACGGCCGCGCTGCTTGGATTCCTGCACCGCCTGAAGCTCTGTGCGACCCGAGTAGTAGAACTTGCTGCCCAGGCTGATGTTCAGGAAGCGCGAGAGGCGGTGCGGTCGCTTTAGGCGGAAGAAGCTGTGGTGCTCCACGCAGGACTTCCACAGCGCCTTGGCGTGCTTGTGGCTGCTCATCCCGAATCCCAGCAAGGTGTCGTAGCTCTCGCTGGGCTCACGGCGCAGCTGAATGAAGAAGTCCTTGCGCTTAAACGACACCTTGACCATCTTACTCCACGAGAAGGTGTTCACCCTCAGCGAATGCTGGAAGACGAGCAGTCCCACCGCCGAGACGCCCAGTTGCAGCTCCTTGCCATTGGAATCGGTGGCCCTGTGCAAGTCGATCCCGTACAGCTCCAGTCGCTTAGCGTGCTCCAGATAGTTGTACTCCGCGTCCGCCGGAAGCTGGCCACGATGAAGCTTATGCAGCTCTCCAACTTTGCGTTCCGCCTCGGGCGTCTGGTCGCTGAGCAACTGCATCCCGTTCAAATAGCCCGGCTGGTGTTCCGGGGCATTGAAGTCGCCCAACTCGGCTGTGAAAATGGGTAATGAAAATGCCAATTAGTGTCTGAACGAGCTCTGCTCTATCGTAAACTCACATTGCACCGTGTAACTGGCAAGCAGGCACTGGGTGTTGCTGGAGCATGGCAGCTTCCCCAGCAGGATTTGACGCTTGATCTGCAGATAGAACTGGTAGCGAGTGAACTCCTCCTGCAGTCGGCTGGGATCGCTTACAAAGAACTGGTGCAGAAAAGGGGTATGTTATGTTCGTGAATGATGGTAGTAGGCAGGGATCTCACCTTAACCTTAAACTCTAATAATGGAACGGCATCGTTGTCCAGCGAAACGCTGCTGCATTGCTTCTTAAACTGCTTCTGGGCATCCACCCATCTCTAAAAATGAGACATTAAAGGAATTAGACGAGTTCTCGAAGATAAAAATTCCACGACTTACCACAACGTCACCCGGCTTCTGGGGAAAGAGTAGACCAAAGTAGTCCCTTTCGGATAACTCGAGATATTGAAAGACCTGATCCAAAAGTTCAGAGCCTTTTGCACGTTTCTAAAGGAGTAGAAAAGATTCGGATATAGCTATATTTAAAACCCTAGAATGTATTTATTACTCTTCAGTGTATCGACACAGCTAAAACACCTCAAAAGCAAATCTTTGCTTTAATTTCTCCCCTATTGTCTTCGATGCCATTACAGTGATTAAGTGACTACCATTTAGTTGCAATTTGGTAGACAGATTCCATCTCGATTATTATTTTCCAGTGCTGCAACCACACACTTGATCATCGAGGTGAAAGAAAGCGAAACCTCGGATGGAGATTGGAAAACAATGCGGACAAGTGCGTGTCTGGAGATGCTAGTCGAGATGAAAGCAAGCTTTGAGTGCAGAGCCAAAAAATGAACAGATAAAAAGTGAATAAATGAATAGTGATGATTAACCGACGAAGGCCTCGAAACTTTCTTTGCTTTGACTATGATTCGCATATCAAATAATTATGCGCATGGCTAATGCGAGTACTACTACGCAAACAGTTGCGGTTTGAACATTATAATAAATTTTAAAGGTGTAATACAACCATGGATTTACGATATTACTTTGGTTATGATATGCAAAGCACATAATGCACTCGTTAACAGTTGGGGAATATTAGGCTTTGAGGGTTGTAACCATGTAAAGTAAGTTACTTTATTCGGGGGTGTTACCTCGATCCGAAAGGTGTGCGTGATGTCATCTAGGAACAGGACGGTGACGCATTGCTGCCGTTGCGGGTTCTTCTTGTCGCGCGCCAGTTCTGGGCCGCCTCCTCTCAGGCGAAAGGTTCTGGTCAGGTTGCTCAGTCGGAAGCGCTCAAACATGACCGAACTCCATGAACTCCATGATTCGGGTGGGGATCGAGGGGTGCGAAAGTACGTATAGCACGCTGGAGGGCGCTGATTGCGGAGAAAGAGCCCCCGGGCGGCAGTCGGGTCTCTCCTGGCTCGGCTTCTTGTTTATTCGATAAATTGGCAAGAGTATTCGTTTGCTTTGTGTGCTGGCTGGTTGTTTTGTTTTCAGTTAACTTGACTGCCTTCCTCGGCTCCTTTTCATGTGAATGGATGGATCTCTGATTGACTGAAACGAGAGCGGGTGAGAACAGGGTCTTTATGAGCACCGACTTACGGCTTGGCTTGATGAAGGCACAAGTATAAGCCTTCTCGCCTCCTCTTCCGCTGCAGTTGTTTATTTTCTTAGTTATTTTATGTCTAGCACACACTCACTCGCACACTCGCTACCTAACAACGCAAGACTCGGCTTTCTGCCCCTCATTTCCTTATCCCCCGCGGGATTGGATGGTGCATACTTCCACGTAGAGCAACAAACCCAGACAAACAAACCACGTCGTCGACAATCGACAAGTGCCGGGTGACTAATAATTTCTTTTGGAGGCCTTTCTTTGCCTCTTGCCTTGCAGCTCATAGCTTTTTCACTCAAACTTGTAGATAAGGTAAAGTCAGCCACTATAAAGAGGGCCTTACACATTTGTACACTAAAGAAAATAATTATAAATTCAAAAGAAAACATTTATCAAAGAAAACTATAAATTACAGCTTTTAAAAACTCATTCCAAATTACGGAAAATGCAAAATTTTAAAAAAAGAGAGTATAAAAGCATAGAAATTTGGGCCGTATAAGTAAAAAGTAATAAATGCTATAAAAAATGGATATAAGATTTTAGCTAAGAACATAATGTTGGATTGATTAAATTGTCGTATTTTGACCACAGACAACTATACATATACCCAATATTAGACAATACCTAAAAACTTAATTCTTTCAGTGCAGTTGCCCCATGCCGTGTGGCACAAATCGTCTTTGCTAATGATTGATGTGCCGTATAATTGGCTTAAATGCTCTCGACTAATATACACAGAACCAAGTATCTGTGTGTGGATAATTGTAAGCACTATTCCACCTATTTTACCTTTCAACCTTGTTTCTGCAGACGTTGACTATTCTCCTAAACTGGGTTAAAACCGCTTTTGTTGAGCTGCGCGAAGCGGACACGGCGCGAAATAAAAAGGGCCAAGAAGTCGATAGCGAGCTTTTTCCGTAGTTACCATGCAGTTGCCAGTAATTATCGAACAGGGGCTAACTAGCGAATTCCCTTGAGTCAGTGGCCGCTTTTAGACACTGATCGAAAGACTAGGGGTCAGATATCGCGTTAAGCGTTATATCGAAGTGCAAATAAGGTATAACATAGGTTACTTTTCTGTATCGTTTTGACACAAACCCAAGTTCTTTTGTTTTCTTTCTTTGGCAGAGGGAGAGCGCAATTGTCGCAAGTAAAAATATCTTAGTATAGGAAAAGATATTTCTGTATGCTGTTCTATATAAATAATACGTTTCCGGACTGTTGTCAGGCGAAAGAGACAAATCGGTGAAACGGGCGGATCTAGAATCAAAACTATTGCTAGCATAAATACCACTTAACTAGAAAAACTTGTGCGCTGCCAATGACATGCAGATAATTTATATGGGGGCACAATGAAATCACAAATGGGCAATAAATAAATGTGGCTTAAGATCGGGACAAAGGTGGTCGGTTCCTGACTTGGGTTCTGTTTCCTCATCAAACCGCCCCAAGTTTATTTATCAGTTGGTTAATTAATTAATTTTATGTAATTACAATAGAAGGAAAACGGTCTACAATAGGTTTTCGTACCGTGGTCACTATACAAGTCCATTCTTTAAACTATAAACAATTATTTCCTTTTTAAAAAGATCAGTACGGAAAACCACTTATCCAATACTGAAAAAGAATTTCAAATTCCCTTAAAATTAATCTTTCTGTTTACTATCCCAGTTGCATTATCTTGGGTCACCACTGTATTTGCCTGGGTTATCAATAGAGTTGCAAAACAGAACGAAAAAGAAAATCCCAGAATTATCAAAAACAAACAAATAAAAGGGTGGCGTCATTCTCTGTCGCCCACGAGACAGGGTTTCGATACTAGATGGATGAAACGTGGGGCACTCCCACGCTGGATGCCATATTTGCCCGGAAGCCAGTTAGTTCGGTGTCCATTTAAGGGCAGTGCAGCTTGTAAATGGACATACAACTACTCTCAGTCGCATTGGCTTTTCATTATGAAATCGAAATCGAAATGGACAACACCTAGCTGGTGTCCCATTCAGATGTCCATTGTATGAGCGCTCTTCCTCATTTTTCAGTTCGTTGACCGACTTTCTGTGCGAAATTATCATTGGGACACATATTTGCATACATGTTTGTTTGTTTACCCAGCTCTTTCTCCATCCCGCTGACCGAATAACGGTCTGGGGGCAGCCTCACCTTCCGTTTCATTCAGCGGCTCTTTCTTTGTTCGCTCGAGGGCAAAAAAAAAGAGATGGCTAAAGAGAAGCTCTTGCCAAACCAGTTGGGGTCTATAAAGCTAACACAGCACTTTCTTAGGGCACCTCCCCTGACCCCTGCAAGTCCGCAAGTACTTGAGATCGACTTGGGATTGTCGAGAGCTCATCACTCGGGGCTGCTCAATAAATGGAACCATTCCAGAGACAAGGGCAATGGGCACAATGGATCCGTATGAGGTAATGGAAACCGCAGACGTGGAACTTCTAAGGAAACGTAATTCGAGATACGCCAGCCACAAGAAAAACAACAAGGCCTAGGCCAAACAAAGCGGGCGTAAAGATAAACTTTTAAAGGAACAGTGATGAGGGGGCGTGGAAAGCGGTGCAGAGGACAACCCGATGTCACTCAACTTCAATTACACGCGACATCCTTCAAGCTGGTTTCCATTTTTAGGACGGACCTCTTACGGCGCCTGGCAACCCCAATCAAAATCAAATTCAAATAGGGCAAATTGCTCTGAATTAGTCTGAAAGTTTTCCCCTTTATAGAAAATCAGTAATGTGGGAAATAACATTTTCAACACTTGTTTCTTCGGCGTTATGAAGAATTTGGATTGTAGATATTTTAAAAAGCAGTAAGGAAAATAACTAACTATCTCTCAGCCATATCTTCTATTTATATTCTATTGTTTTTAAAGTTCTTAATGTCGTTTTTAGCTTGTTACCAATGTGTGGTCAGCTTAGAAACCCCAATTCCTTGTGCGAAAGACAAAATTAGGGGAACTCAAAGCAAAAGCTTGGTCCAAATTGAATTTCCCGGCGTCAAGGGTTGTGGTTCACCTGGTTGGACGGCACCCTCCGGAAAATTGCTTTTAAAAAGGAACAGGGAGCTCTGTGGAAAAACAGGTTATGCTCCCCGATTGATTTTCTCTCGTGCCGGCGACGCATCAATTACGCTGGCCTGGCATTAATTATCGGCTGGCGTATGCATTTGGTGGGGTTTATTTTATGGCTGCCTATACCGCCATGCGTCAGGGTTGCCATGTGTTCATTGTGGAAGGGGTGGCGACCCCAGGAAGGGATGGGGACTTCATCCAAGGCGGGGTTTAGTGCGCTTATCGCTGTTTGCCTTTTAATTTTATTGCTTTTGGGGCAGGGGGAGGTGGCGGGGGAGGGAGGGACGCACCCCGTGAGTTTGTTTAGCGCTCAACATTCCGAATATGCTATTTTCGTGTTCATATTCCCCATGCAACACAGCCCCCGGCTGAAGACCCGGGCGACACTTACACAAACCCAGACGCACTAACCCAAAACTGGAGCTGTTTGCTATTAAATTAAATTTGAATATTACGTCGTATGTTATGATTATAATTCTTTCACATTATTCAATCATTTTTTAAATTCTTATATATTTTAACACTCCGCCAAAGTGATTTAAATTGGTTCAATGTCTTGAAAAAAAAATTGAAAAGATAATCATAGGAAACAAATAAATGAATGATAAATTTGGGCACATAAAAGTGTACTAATATAACACATTTCAATGTAACAATTCGATCAAAAAAAAAATAATTCACTTGAAAAAAATATATAAATATTGTATTAAGTTTTGCAAGTATTTTCATACTTCTAATGTTTCTTAATTTTGTCAAATTAATTAGTATATTTTCTGAGACTTGCGCAATGATTCTCTCAGCGTAGAACTGCAGCTGATTGCGATTCTCTACCCTCTCCTTTCTTTCTAGACTCACTGTATTTACTTTTAGTGTTCATCTTTCGATTGGGGCAATTGTGGTTGTTGTTGCTTGGCGTAGCTAACAGCTTATGATGCAGCTTGATGTGCGAATAGAGAGGGGCAGTGGCAGTAGCAGTTACGGTTAATTGACGAATTTGTAAACAAACAATCAGCGATTAATTGCGAGAGGGAGAGGGAATACATCTTGGCTATCCATTTATTTTGGCCTTATCTGCGACTATTGCCACTTCCTTCATTGCATGATGTCCGTGCGGCTTACATGCCGTATTTGTGTGTGTGTGTGAGCAACCTCAATCTCCCTCTCTCTATCTCTCGCCTGCATTCAAATCAGAAAGAGGCTGTGTGGGGGAAAGGGATGGTGCGAGAGCAACGGCAAAATGAAGAATAATAATAATTACACACATTGCAGCAAAGAGGAGTTGCAACACAAAAAGGAAATGAAAAGAAGTGGAAGAATAAAAACTCACCTTTATCTTGCTTTCTCACACTCTTGACTGCTATACCAACTAGAAAACTTCCTTTTTTCGTTCCTGATTTATTTAACAAGCCCCAAATGTTTTTCACACAATCGGAAGGAGGCAGCATAAAACACACGCACGCACACGGTGCACACACACCGACACTCGCACTTACACTTAAGCAGCCGCTTCGGGAAATAAATCAACAAATGACGAAAAACTAAACAATTAAATTACACCGACTGATACACAATTAACAGAAATGCGCTATTTATATTTTAAGTTTAATCTGTCTCATTAATTGGGACTTTTCGCGGAAACGGATGAAACGAAAACAAACCGAAAGAAACTGAATCGACGGTAGAGGTGGAAACGGCAATGAAAAATTAGAGATGGAGAAACGCCGATGCTTACATCGATTATTTTGAAACATCGCTCATATCGATGTTTGCCAGGGCGTCAACAATGTTTTGCATCTCCAACGACTAAGAAAACAAAGTAGACGTTTTTCAAACTTTGAAAATTAGTCACACCAAAAAATGTCACAAGGGCTTGAATATTTATCGGTCGTTTTATCGGCAAGACTAATTGTAATATATTATTTTAAAGTTTGGATAAGCATTTAATCTTAAAAATTTATAAAATCAGGGAAAAGTAATTTTAAAACCGTTTGTTAGAGTTAAAAGAACCCTTCAATTAATGCAGCTCACGCTCCCGTTGACTGTTATCGAAAATCTGTCGATGTGTGGGGTATTTTCGGGAATAAAACTATAGCTTTCTTAAAAACAAATTCATTCCCTCGTAAACTATTGGAAATACGAATCTAAAATTTTAATATTAAGGAGCCAGTATTTTGCAATTTAATAATTAATTTAACATGGTAATTGGCCCGGCTAGTATTGTTATACTCTTTGCTCTGTTGGTTTGTGACATGGCTAAAACATCCTTAGTTAAAATTTGAACCTAATGTTAAGATATTAAATTTAAATTATTATATAATTTTGGTCAAAAGTGTGCAACGCGGAGAAGGAGAAATCTCCGACCCTATAAAGTAAACGCGGAGGGATAAAAGCGCCATAAACGATATAAACCAAAAACCAAAAATCATATTATTATTATATTATTATTATTATTTATATTGGTCTTTGAAATACCCTCTTATAATTTCAGTCAAAAGTTTGCAACGCAGTAAAGGAGACATTTCCGACCCTATATAGTATATATATTCTTGATCAGCATCACCAGTTGTGTTTTTGTTGCAGGTGGTATATAAGTCGGAACGAGCCGGATCGGGCGACTATATAACATAGCTGCCTATAACTGAACGATCGGAAATGCCAAACTTGGTGTTTTTAAAGTAGGAAGCGGTATTTTTATGAGTATTAAGAATGCATCATATGAATAATTTTGGAGAATATAATTTACAGAGTATTCTGCAGGGTATATCAACTTCGGCTCCGCCCGAAGTTAGATTTCCTTTCTGTTATACCCTTGCAGAGGGTATTATAATTTGGTCAAAAGTGCAACGCAGTGAAGGAGACATCTCCGACCCTATAAAGTATATATATTCTTGATCAGGATCACCTCCTGAGTTGATATAGCCATGTCCGTCTGTCCGTCTGTCCGTCTGTCTGTCCGTCTGTCTGTCCGTCTGTCTGTTTCTACGCAAACTAGTCTCTCATTTTTAAAGCTATCGAATTGAAACTTTGCACACACCCTTCTTTCCTTTGCACGCAGTATATAAGTCGGAACGGCAGAGATCGGCCGACTATATCCTATAGCTGCCATATAACTGATTGATCGGAAATGCCATAACTTTGGTGTTTGTAAAGTTAGGAAGTTGGGATTTTATATGGGTGTTATATTTGGCCAATCAATCCGACCTACCAAATTTCATAAGGATCGGCCGACTATATCCTATAGCTGCCATATAACTGATTGATCGGAAATGCCATAACTCTGCTGTTTGTTAAGTTAGGAAGTTGGGACTTTCTGTGGGTTCTATATTTGGCCAATCAATCCGACGTACCAAATTTCATAAGGATCGGCCGACTATATCTTATAGCTGCCATATAACTGATTGATCGGAAATGCCATAACTTTGGTGTTTGTTAAAGTTAGGAAGTTGGGATTTTCTATGGGTTTTATTTTTGGCCAATCAATCCGACCTACCAAAGTTCATAAGGATCGGCCGACTATATCTTATAGCTGCCATATAACTGAACGATTGGAAATGCTATAACTTTGGTGTTTTTAAAGTTAGGAAGTTGGGATTTTTATGAGTATTAAGAATGCATCATATGAATAATTTTGGAGAATATAATTTACAGAGTATTCTGCAAGGGTATATCAACTTCGGCTCCGCCCGAAGTTAGCTTTCCTTTCTTGTTTTTCTATATTTTTATGACAATTTTGCAGTTTAAAAGCTTTTGACATGAAACTATGCATCTAGTTTATTTATGTATACCTTATTCCTATCGCTACTTTTTTAATTTTAGCAATTTCGGCAAAATCTGCTAGGGTATTAAGACTTCGGCTTTCCGAAGTTAGCTTCCGTCCACGTTTTAATCAATGTTAAGATAATATATTTGTTTGTAATTTATGGCCAAAAACGAGTGATAATAATAAATTTGTATTTTGTGATTTTTTGCTCATTAATCAGATGTTGGTTCAACACTGTGTATCAGTGTTTACCTTTTTTAAGGAAAGAAAATTTATATGAACCACTTGGTATAAAGATGTCGTTGGAAGTGTACACAATTATTTTACAAATCCAACTTTCACCATATAAATATGTACATACAAACATATGTATGCATATTTGAAAAATTTAATATTATGAAATATGTCATAAATAAAAACTTTCTCATCTCACTAAAATTTGCATTTCTAACTTTGAAACATTCTATTTTGACATGAGATTAAAGAAATATTTTATAGCCCTGTTTTTTTGCATTTGTTCTGAGCAAAAATATCTCTAATTCCTAGAAATGTTGTTTATCAAGCACATGACTTTTATTAAAGCTTGCGATGCTACATATGTACATATGTATGAACATACATTTATTTGTACACTAGAACAGTTTGCCTTTATTTTGACATTAATTCAAAAATGTTTGCTAGAAACGATAGGGCGTTTTTAAAAATATTTTTACAAAGACTATCTCTAATTAATATACATACATATATAAAAAATGTCTTGGTGCATAGCAACACCATACAGCAACAGCTTTTAAAGACAGTGTTTTAAATACCTTTTCTTTTGTAAAAATGAACAGAAACTGGCTTCCCACAATTTTTATTTAAATACACAAAAAAATATTTACATATGTTAATTTCTGACCGTTTTTTTAATTCCCTGTTTGCTGTTCCTATGTCCCAGTGTGCATAATCTCTATCTTTTTTGGCAATTCAAGGCTGTGCGAACTTGAAAAAATAAACAACAAAAAAGAAATAAAAGCAAGAAAGAAAAGCTTACTTCGGGCGGAGCCGAAGTTGATATACTCTTGCAGAATATTCTGTAAGTTATGGCATATTAAATCGTTCAGTTATATGGCAGCTATAGGATATGGTCGGTCCATCCTTATGAAATTTGGTATGTCGAAATTGATTGGCCAAAAATAAAACCCAAAGAAAATCCCAACTTTACAAACACCAAAATTATGGCATTTCTGATCAATCAGTTATATGGCAGCTATATGATATAGTCGGCCGATCCCGGCCGTTCCGACTTATATACTGCGTGCAAGGGAACGAAGGGTGTGTGCAAAGTTTAAATTCGATATCTTTCAACTGAGAGACAAGTTCGCCTAGAAACAGACAGACGGACATGCTTAAATCAACTCAGGACGCGACCCTGATCAAGAATATATATACTTTATAGGGTCGGAGATTTCACTGCGTTGCACACTTTTGACCAACATTATAATATCCTCTGCAAGGGTATAAAAATATCACTGACGAAATTTGTTGATCTCACAACGTCTGCAAGAGAATATGCTAAGAGAATGAAAAAAAACTGTTTCATTTTTTACGAACTTTTGCACACTTTTATGCAGTGAGAAAAATGTTTAAAATAAGTCACAAAGTTCAGTGACTTTATACTGATATCAAAGATGCATTTTGCAAAGAAATAATTGACATCCAAATATTTGCTATTTTTTTTGTTTTTGTTGTCTTTTATTATGTTTTACGCTGAAATATATTTTAAATTCGTAATTTCAATTAATATCAATCCTCACATTACTTAAAAAAATTTTAATAAATCGTATTTTTGTTTATATATATGTACATATATTAATCTTGCAAAATCATTTAAATCCCTTTTGCAAAGAATTAGTAGACAAACGGTATGTCATTATGTGTCATTAAAATTTGCATTTCTAATTTTAAAACATTCTATTTTGACATTCGATTTTTTTAAGTGGAAATATCTTATTTTATAGCCCTGGTGTTTTTGCAATTATTCTGAGAAAATATATCTATCTATAAAATTCCAAGAATTTTATAAAACACGTGCCTTAATTAACGCTTGGGTAAGCTCCAACCAAAGACCAATATAATCACTAAGATGCGTAACGCCCATACATTGGTTTGCAATACGTTTTTTGGTGGCGACGAAAATTCCGCTCTATCCGCTCGCACAAAGTTGAGAGCGTAAAAATCTAAAAATATTTGTGTATTTGTTCGAGAAGACGATTTTCGTCCAGAAATCATTTCTGGACTAAGAAACTAATTGTGTGTCAAAAGAACTTCTATGATTGAACAGGATGATTATTTAAATTGCATTTATGTTTATATGGCAATGGAGCTTGATGTAAAACTTTTTTATATACCTTAAATATTAATATCTGCATATTTAATTCATAGTTTCGTTTTACATATTTAAATTAAAGCTAAAAACATAACTTTTAATACAAAACATATAAAACTGCTTGATTAAATTTTAAAATATTTCAATAAAGTTTAATATATTTGAATATAATATGATTGTTAAACAAAAACAAAGCGAAGTTTATTTAAATTGAATATATTTAAAGGATATTAAATTAAATATATGTCGCTTTATTTTTTATCCATGGCTGTTTTTATTAACTTTAAAATGGAAATATTAAATTTAATTTTTATTCAAATATATTAAATTTTGATCTAATGACTTAAAATATTTAAAGTAAATACGAATAACATCATATCTAATATTATCCACTAAATCATCTTATTTACCAAAGTTTTATATGTTTGTGTTAAAAGGTATAATTAATTTAAATATATAAAACGAAAAATTTAATTAATATTCAGATATTCATTTTATTATCCATCTTTTTTTTTGTATACCTAATAAATATTTAAAGCTCATATTATTATTTTATAAAAAGTTAAACTATTTATATA